GAAATCATTGCTTATTTTGAAGGAGAGGTATCGATGTTGAAGAAGCTTTTGCTCATGTTAAATTCAAACTTTGTTCCTATATTAATAATAGTAGATCCAAATGAAATTTCCCTCTGTTATATGGAGTAGTTTCTTTTTTACTCCTTAGACTTGTTTGATTGAGGTTTTTGTAAAACCCTTGTCTTTTGATCTACCTCCTGGTGTGCTTTTCCACAGGAGTGTTTAATAAAGTGCATTTTGGTTAAAAATAAAGTTTATGAACATTCAGATTTCATTTTTATGAACAATACAAAACCTCAGACATTTGCTAATCAATGATGTTAATGCAACACTTTAAGATTGTATGTTAGATTAATTTTGTAAGTTTGCACACATTGTTGTGACTTGTGAGGCAGTGGCTGAAATGCCACCAGCTGTCAATGGATGATTAGCCTTCAACATTCCGCTTTTGCTGGCCTCACTGTGATAGCTGAGAAAGAAGCCACCTATTGGCAGAGGTAATTATCAAGTATGTTTTTGGTACTTTATAGAATTGGTAAATTTGGCTGAGGAAATATATTGGATTTATAATAAGTTTCAGTATCACCCGCAGAATACACACACACAGATATTCAATATTTGTACATTATAACTATTTTAAGAAAATGAGATTTTGATGTACAAAGTATAACTCTAGACATATTCCTCTCATATAAACACATCCTATCGTAATGGTAGAATATATAAAATTTCAATATACAACACTTATTTGTTGAGCTAATCCGTGGATTTCTTTGTACTTGTTGAAACACTGCCAAAACTATGATAACTGTTTAATGCTCTGTTTAATTTCATGGTTGGCATAATATTGTCTTTCTTATAATTATATACACATCAAAGAGGAGTCAAGAAGTATTTTCTACAATGTCCAAAATCATTCTATGCATGTTAATTTTCCTATAACTGCTTGTGAAGATTTGAACCAGCTGTTGGGATACTTTGTTGATCATCCATGTGCTTAAGAAGGCGATTAAGACTTTTGGAAGTGGAAAATTGATGTAGTTTGGTTAAACTAGAAATTCTACTCTCAACCAAGAGCAAACAATACATGTATAATGTAGGGACTCATGGTAATCTAATTGTGTAGTACATAAGCAAAGTAGCTCACACGAGTAAAGTACAATGATATTAGTAACGTCACAAATAAAGTTAACATATTAACTATAAATAATATTTTGAGTGATCTTGAGCTTATCTTCAAGATGTATTGATGGTTAGGTAGTAATTTTAAAGATTGTTTCTAAATTGCTCTTATTTTCATGGAATACTATAAAACCGTACAATCAAATTCGGTCCATCAACTCTTTGGTTTTCCAAGTCATATGTAATGACCCTGTCGCTCATGACAAGTTTTGTGAAGAAAAAAAAATCAAACATAATCAAAGAATTGATTCCTTTTGATACTATATACTAGATGTAGACAAAAATGGTAGTTTTGTGACTAATCACTTTGAGAAATATTTTACCTCCTAAAATTTGCAGTCCTGGGTATCGAGATGGGAGGAATCCCGAACACCAATCAGTGCTTCCACTCTACATTAGGTGCATGAAAACTATGATTACATCTTTAGATTCATGATTATAATATATTTAAGAAATTATGTTTTGTGTGACTCACAGTAGTATCACGAGTGAGGTAGTCCCTGGGCCTCAAAACTGCTTATGCACCTCCTTTTAAATTCAATGTAATAAGTGGAAATACATCATATGGGCTTGATGCAAAAATAGAAACAATGTCAAATTTAAAGGACTTTAAAATAGAAGGTAATAGAATCTAGTAAGCCCAGGAGACATAAAAAGATCTTGAACCTTGATTGTACATCATAACATAGTTTATGTGATCTAAGATTTGAGATCGCATGTGGTGAAGCACTTTGGTAGATCTGTGTAAACAAAAAGAGCACGATTTAGTGTTTGGTCATCATAATCTAAACTAAATTTGCATATCAATTTCCATGTCACGTCTAATTAATGGTTATGATTGTTTAAGTGTCATGCTATAGATTGAAACTCGAGCTATGGTTTAAATATATTATGAAGCTGTATAAATTTAGATATATACCAAAATACAACAACAACAACAACCCAGTTAAATTCCACAAGAGTAGGGTCTGGGGAGGGTGTGTGTACGCAGAGGAATGGGGATGAGCTTTCATCTCTCCGACAAAGGTTTCTCTGGGGGCCGAGTTGCAGCTTTCAACGTAACGAACTGATTGACGATGAAGTAATTAATTTCTTCGCGTCTGTCAAATCTCTAGGTAAAACTAAATAAGGTAGTGTGGGGTTTCGGTTTTTAATGGTGAAATTTTGGCTCCATCGGAGATGATGGAAAAAGATATATACCAAAAAATTATATATAAAATAAAAATTTAAATATATACAATTTTTATATAAAGTAAGATGACGATGCAACATCATTACAACTGGTTAGAAAAGATAAGTTTATTCAATGCAATAGAGTAAAAAAAAGTGATAAAATGGTTTATATGGCTTTATACTTCATATTAAAGTATGCTATTTTGAAAAGAAGATCTAATCTCAGCGAGTGTTAGTAAGGGCAATTTAATGTTTGGTTGGGTCCGACATATTTTAGCAAGTCATTTCCAGTTTCCAGTTCAGTCATTTGCAAGATCTAGCTCTATTAAAACATACCACATGAACTAATGGAGAAAAAACCTCTTTTGCTAGGTATACAAAATAAGTTCCAGAATCAAGTACAGGTTGGCAAACATGTCTCGGTCAATTTGCAGAAGTTGCCCATTGATATTGATGCCTTCCAGATGGACATGATAGATCTGCCTGAAAAGTAGATATGCCAAAAGGTATTTGTCACACCAGCCAAATACAAGGCACACTTTTGATAACCTAACTATGCTCACTAGTGAAAGCAACAAGAAAACTCTGTTGAATGACATAAAGTGTGAGTATAAAAAAAACAATATTAACATCTACTAAATTGAAGACATACTTTGGCAGGAGTGGTGTATAAGTTAGAGGCAACTCCACAACTTCACCAAGCACAAAAAACCCCAAAATCCCAAAACCTCCTCTTAGGCAGTGAGAGAAAGTTTTTGGCACAGCATGTTGGGGAGGAGAGTTGTGAGATGATTGACATGGTTTTTTGGTTAAATCCCAAAATCCCATCCAGCACCTGGTCGTTTTGAGCTATGTACCCTTGCTGATAAGTAGTACACCTGTCATGTCAGCAAATAATTAATAAATATAAGTGTAGAAAACTATGAATTGGAAAGTACTCCGGTAACATTAAGATACATAGATTTATTATATTTTTTAAAGAAGACTCACCCAAAAACGATTGAAGACTTGCTAGAAGTGGCAGAATTTTCACTAATAACATCCAAATGGATAATATCAGCTACATAATAGCCAGATATTCAACTACGGTCTGACATGTCAAAAAAATTGCCTAATAAGCGTGCCACATGTCACAATTCTAGAAGCTTTACTCTCAAAGTTTATGTATAAAGATTTCTTGAGTAAATTGGTTATTCCATTATTTCAACAATAATAATAATACAAACAACAAATAACAACAAAGCCTTATCCCATTAGGTGGGATTGACTAACAATAATAATACACATAAAATAATAGTCATAGTAAAAATAATACTAATAATAAAAAAACAATCAATAATATTAATAACAATAATAATATGGAATATTTATTATTGCGGTTATATAATAAACACATGTATACTTTTAAAAAGAAAAGAAGAGAACTATAAGGTTATTTAATCAAATGAATATATTTTATTATTGATCATCATAAATTAATAATGATTTTCAATAGCTGTATTTATATAACACAAAATATGTTGCATATATTATTTGTTTCTTTGATAGAGTATTCCTCTTAATTTATATATCAAACATCTTATATATTTAGACATTAATTTATTTTAAAAATATTTTTTAATGGTTTAAAACTGATTATCAATGCGGGTTGGGACGGTCTGAAGCCTTCGGGTACCCGTGCAGGCCGGGCTCGGGTTTCATATGTAACGTTCGCTATGCAAGCCGGGTCGGGCTCGAACCTAAAAAGTGTTTGTAATGTAAAGTCCCGATGTGGTTTAATATTGGAAAAAACCTATTCAAAACAGAATTGGTATGGCTAATAATCCTAATATGCGATGGCTACAATTGGTCGATTGGTTAAGGACCTTAGGTTTGGTGGGCTAAAATTGTTTGGAATAATCTCATTATCCCTTAACACAAATTCTTCTCTTGGACA